TGAAGAACCCAGCTCTTTTGAGGACTGGATGAAATCACTAAGTAAAACTCTTAGCTAATGCTTGGCACCTAGTAGGGAGACATTAATGGCGAGCTCATTTTTATTTTTCCACTCAATGCTTTCAATAGGCTTGTAAGATGACTCCTATTACTATTGCCCATGGGAGGGATATGAAAGCCCAAGCTTCAAGGAGTGAAGGGGTTGGCCACGACGCATAGATACAAGAGGCAAAGCTAGAATTGGTATGGTCCCTGGCTTCAGAGTTTTTGCCTAATACTTCTGTCCTATAGGGAGTCCCTTGTGTCGTGTGTCAGCCACACGGGTCAAACGCGGAAGTGGTTTTTTAAAATGTCATTCCAGGGGTCTCCCCAGAGCTTTCCTAGCACCTCTCCCTTTGTGCTCAGTTTCTGGCCAGAGGACCCCAGTTTGGTGGCCGAGAAACGCAGGGGGTCTGGCACCTAGTAGGGAGACATTAATGGCGAGCTCATTTTTATTTTTCCACTCAATGCTTTCAATAGGCTTGTAAGATGACTACTATTACTATTGCCCATGGGAGGGATATGAAAGCCCAAGCTTCAAGGAGTGAAGGGGTTGGCCAGGACGCATAGATACAAGAGGCAAAGCTAGAATTGGTATGGTCCCTGGCTTCAGAGTTTTTGTCTAATACTTCTGTCCTATAGGGAGTCCCTTGTGTCGTGTGTCAGCCACACGGGTCAAACGCGGAAGTGGATTTTTTAAATGTCATTCCAGGGGTCTCCCCAGAGCTTTCCTAGCACCTATCCCTTTGTGCTCAGTTTCTGGCCAGAGGACCCCAGTTTGGTGGCCGAGAAACGCAGGGGGTGGAGATGAGCCTGTAATTCGGGTTTAGCCTGGAAGTAGTTAGAGCAGCGGGGCAGAGGGTGGGAACAAATTGGCGCCGCGTAGCCAGCCAGGGGAAGGGTAGGGGAGGTGCGACGTCACCTGCTCGGTCAACCGCCGCCCCGGAGGCGTCAGGAACGTACTTTGCATTCCCTTGTGGAACAAAGTAGGTAGTTTACTGATTGCTTCTACCCCAAATTGAGATGCAACGTCTTTCTAGCCAGATCGGTGCAGACTCTGGGTGTTAAACGTAGCATGCCTCCCTCCCGCCCCGCAAAGCAAAGCCTAGCTGTCGCGGACCCCTTTCTCTGCTGTTCTGTCTTCCCGTTCCTGTCCCTGGTCTAGGAGCCCTGGAGCGCCGCGGGGGTGCCTCTACGCAAGTCTGCACGTGGAAGGTTCTCCAGCCTCCCGCTTGCCCGGCGGGAAAGTTCCTCCCGGGAGACGCGGCGCTGGCGGAGATTCCCACTGGGCGGCGGTTCGGCCCGCTTTCCTGCGCTGAACCCGGCCGCGGGAGGCTGGAGACCTGCGGGGCCCGGTGCGAAGGGATCCTTCGCGGTTCGCTGCTGGTTAGACCGCGACGGGGTGTGCAGATTAGAGATGCGACCTACGGAAGGTACGTGGCTTTCAAAAGCTTTTAAAAATGCAGCTGTGCTTGAGTCTTTATGAAAACACATTGATGCAGTTATGTGTATGCGTTTAAAAACACAAGTAATTCTGCATGGAGCACTTTCTGGCGGCGATGGAAACCTTACCTAGTTTGGGAGCGGTGATGAGCAGGTGAACTGAGTTGTCAGAATTCATAGACACTCTACACCGTAGTAGGTCTGTACGTTGTATCACGTGTAAATTGTACTTCAGCTGAAAAATCAGAGCATAATTCTGCATGCATAGGAAAAGTTACCAAGTGCCACTGCATCCATGCACATGTAAAAGCCAATTGGATGCGGCTGTACATGAGGATATTTGTAGCAACTAAGCTCAATTCTGTCGGGTTATTTATTTACCCAAGCTCCGCCCAGCTGAAAAATGTAAAAGCCAATTGGATGCGGCTGTACATGAGGATATCTGTAGCAACTAAGCTCAATTCTGTCGGGTTATTTATTTACCCAAGCTCCGCCCAGCTGAAAAAGGGGAGCGAAAGACGAACGACATCACCCGGGGCGGGGCCTCAAGTCCTAAGAAAAGTCCGCGGGACCGAGCCAGCCGCGGCAGCTCAGCCAGGCACAGCCTCACCATGAGCGGCCACAACAGCTCCGAGCTCCAGGTCCTCTGCAGCTCCGGCCAGCTGTTCCTACAGCCCCTCTGGGACCGCCTGCGGACCTGGGAGGTCCTCCTCCAGTCGCCCTTTTTTCCTGTCATCTTCTCGATCACCACCTACGTGGGCTTCTGCCTGCCCTTCGTCGTGCTGGACATCTTGGGCCCCTGGGTCCCCGCGCTGCGGCGCTACAAGATCCATCCCAACTTTTCGCCGTCCGCGCGGCAGCTGCTGCCCTGCTTGGGACAGACGCTGTACCAGCACGCGGTGTTCGTGTTCCCCGTGACACTGCTGTATTGGGCTCGCAGCCCTGTCCTTCTGCACCGCGAAGCCCCCGAGCTGCTCCAGCTCGTGAGTCACGTCGTGCTCTGCCTGCTGCTCTTCGACGCTGAGGTTTTCGTGTGGCACGTGCTGCATCATAAGGTGCCCTGGCTGTACCGCACCTTCCACAAGATGCACCACCAGAACTCGTCCACGTTCGCGCTGGCCACGCAGTACATGAGCGTCTGGGAGCTGTTTTCCTTGGGCTTCTTTGACATGCTGAACATCACGCTGCTCGGGTGCCACCCGCTCACTGTCCTGACCTTTCACGTGGTAAACATCTGGCTCTCCGTGGAGGACCACTCGGGCTATGACTTCCCTTGGTCCACTCACAGATGGGTGCCTTTCGGGTGGTACGGGGGCGTGGCGCACCACGACCTGCATCACTCTCAGTTTAACTGCAACTTTGCCCCTTACTTCACACACTGGGACAAAATACTGGGAACTCTGAAGCCTGCACCCCTCCCAGCGTGCTGATGTGACTGCGGTGGGTGTCCCTTCGACCAGGGTCTGCTGTGCATTTCACATTTGAATCAGAAGAAACGCACCAGAGTTATTTTTTTTAAAGCAAGTAACTTATTAGTTGATGAAAACTGTTATAGATAAAAAAACTGATATTTTGCAGTCTGATAAAGTAATTTATATAGTGTTTGTATATCAATACAATTGTATTTTTTTGGTGTTGAATTATAGCTTACTTCAATAGTCTTGATTCCTGCATGTAAATTTGACATTCATCACTGGCATATTTAAATCATTTCTAAAAGGATTTATTTGTAGAACCAGGAGTTTCCTGTGTTTCTAGAACGTGACTAAAAGAAGGATCTGACTTCTGACTCTATAAACAATGAAACATGTTCCTGCTGGACAGTGACCAAGATTGTACTATTTTTTTTTCTATTTTTTCATAGAATTGTATATTTATATTAAGAAAAATGCTATTTATGCTTTTTTAAAAAAAGAACATAAACCAAACAAGTCCTGTCTCCTGTTTCACCAGCATTTTGACTGATAAAGACTAAAAAGGGGAGAGGGAGCTGGGATGGCAAGAGTCCTTCAGATCCTCCATCAGCCCTTCCAAGGAAAGAGAGGAACTTGGGGTGGTGGTGGGGGTGGTGTTTGGTGGGGAGTTGCGGGAGAGAAGGACGCAGGAGAAGGTGTCAGTCTGTCTCATTTTGGTCTAGAGATTTCAAAGGGAAAAAACTATTGTTCTAAATGTTTTTCAGCTGATGTCTGGATAACAGGCAAATGATAGAATTACTCTGTAAAGTTTTACAGAGAGGTTAACACTTGGCAACCATATGATTACAGGCGGTAGCGGGGAGGGTATTGGAGGATGAACAGACTTAGAAGAATGCCTTGCTTTGCAAAACTGGTAAGTCACATATGAGCATTGGAGTGGCTGATAGAAACAGAAAGGGATTCTGAGTAAGCCCCACTTTTCATGAAGCCATCCTTAGCTAGTGCAAACGACCATGAAAACATTGCTTCTGCAATCTGGAACTTTTGCATATTCAGGTTTCTTAATTAAGACATACATGCAAAATAGTGTTTTTTCCCTCTGAAATATCTAGATCAAAACTAGACAAACAGACTCCTTCTCCTGCCTTCTCCTTTCCTAAAGAAAAAGTGAAATTTGGCCCTGGATCCCTGGTTCCAAATCTATAAAAGGAGATAGTGTCCCAGATGTTCTTGCTGATTACTGGTGACAGTAAAGGTCCTTATTATTAACCACACACCATTACCCATCATGCACCTCCATCTGGCTGCTGCCTAACTGTTTTGATTTTATGTTAGGAATACAGTTTATGTAGCGTAACATTAAAAATCAAGACAATTTAGACAGAAAACTGTAAAGAACTGCAGCTTTGCATGTAATTTTAGCCTCATTATATGTAAACTAAACTGTCATGTTTAAAGGTGAAAAATTCATCTACAGGCCTGGTCTCCACAGTCTTTCAAGTGAGACTCCTGAGAAATATCTTTTTTTGTTTGTTTGCTAAATATTCTCCAAATGTTTGGCAGAATGCAACTGGAATGCCTGACCCTCGGACAATTTTCTCACATTGTCTCCAATGTGTGTGTTCCCTTGGCTTCTAGACTGAAGTTGCCTCCTTCTCTGTCCGCAGCAGAACCAGGCTGAGACTTAACGATTACACTAATTTATAAAAGCAAACTCCACAAAAAGAGGAAGTGAGACATGAGGGGAGAATGTTATGTTGGGGGTAGTATATTAATATCATGATACACATGGTGAGTGGAGAAAGAAGAGAACGATAAAGAGGCAGGTGTGGAATATGTGGGGTAACTATTAGTTTCTGTGAGCAGGTCCAGGCACCCATAAGCTGCCTTGTGAATCTTGGATAGTGACAATTGATCACACCTCACCCTCAGAGCATTTAAAAAATGTGTCATGTTACTTCACTGTATAAGGGAATTTTAGATTTGGGGCAAATTGTTTATACAGAAGATATTTAGATTTAGAAACACTTTCTCAAAAATGGATGTATTATCCGTTTTTAATGACTTGGAAGGTGGGACTGGGGGAGTGGGGAGGATGGGTAATTTTTCAGATAGTTTGAGAGTGTAATAATAATGATGATGATGATGATGATGATGAAATCCTTCATATTTGCATGTATTTTCACACATTGTTTTACTTGCTCTTTGCAACAGCATCCTAAGGGATGTAGGACAGTTATTACTATCAGCATTATGATCATCATCCCATGTAGTGGATGGAGAATTGGTACCCACACAGGTTAAATGCTTTTTCCAAGTAATACAATACTAGGAGTTGAAGCCAATTCTCCCAAACTTAGGTCTCACAGCGTATACTATACCTCTCTTCTGATAATGCTCATGATAATCTTCCCCACTGCCAGAGAGCTGCAAATCCTGCAATAGCAACTAGTGGCCTCTCTCTGCTGTTTCTCCTCAGCCACTGTCCCTAAGGTACAGCATCCCCAGCCCACTGCTTTGATGTGGGTGCCCCTGGATTCAAAGCCTCTGCCTGGGCAGCCCCTGGAGAAAGGTCAGGGAAGGTAGACCGAGGCCAGTCTAAGCAGGGCCTGGGAAAGCAGGAGACAAGTCAAGGGCTGTGTTTTCTGCCTCCTTCACTGCGCGTGGGCTAAGAGCACAAATGCTGAAGCCAGATTTTTAGGGTGGGAATCTGGGTTCAGGGACTTACTAGCTGAGTGACTTTGGACAAGTCACTTAAACTTCTGTGCCTCAGCTTCCTCATCTATAAGCTATGGATAATAGTAGACCCTCCCTCACAGAGTCGTTGTGAGGGATTTTTGAGTTGTTAGCTGGAGCAAGCGGGATGGGTTGGAGATCTTGGCTGTAGCTGTGTTTGCTGTGACGAGTGTCTCATGATGTGAGCACCGGGATGCAGTTCGGGACTGTAACTTTCCCTCCACAATGTGCTTGAGCTCTCCTGTCTCACAGGGAACCAGGAGAAGCTGAGCTTTTGACTCTGCTACCATCATAAACTGCTTCTGTCATCAGCCTCAAAAAGGCAAAAATTCTGGAAAGAGACACAAGTCTGTGTTTGTCTCATTCGCTTCCTCACCTCTGAGTCATCCCACCCCCAGTCCTTCCTGAAACTTCTGCTCCGGGCTCACCACTATCTATCTTCCCATTTATCAAATGCAGTAATTTTTTCCCCTTGGTTTTCCATATCCTTAGTTTTTTTT